GCTCAAAGAGCAACCACTTTGCAGTGCAGTAATGCCAGGAGCCCCAGGACCCCATGGAACACATTGTCTAGGTACCTGTAAAACCCTTTCAATGGATCATCCTGTTGTGTTTTCCCCAGGAAAACAGAAGAGAGGCCCATGAGATGATCATGCTTCCTAGCACATCCAGGTCCTTCACACAGCAGCTATGGAAAAGGGTATGGACACCTTCCCACTGACACAGCTCCTGGCTGGAAGGGAAATGCTGTCACCAGTGTGTTACAGAAAGGGAAATGAGGCACAAAGCAATTCTAAATAACTCGCCCAAGGTCACAGGAAGCTTATAGAAAAGTCAGTAATTGAACTCAGGACTTGTGAGTCCCCAGTCTAGTTATTTATCAGAAATCACCATTTAATGGGTCACCTTTAGCCAGACACCCTCTTATTTTGCACTGCCACGGAATTATACTGGCAGAGGGAATTATTACAAGTTTCCCTTACAGCCCAACATGCTTAAAGGGCTGTTTTGGAAATAAAATTTGCAGCATGCTCAGCGTGCTGGAACAGACAGCTCCTCAGTGTTGCACAGAGCTGAACCACCAAAGTGATTATAAGGCTCCAGATCAAGCTGGGAAATAAGCTGGTTTTCCTCTGCAGTGAATCACTTTGTTTTAAGGGTAGCCTGCAGTCCACAGTTTGAAGGGTGGTGAGAACTCACCATTTCACCTTGGATCTGCATCTTCTTTCACAAATGCCTCTGACAACACAGAATATTGCAGCCTTAGCTCTGAGCCAGACACCCCAAAGCCTCTCCCTTTGCAGCAGGCCTCTCCTTGAACCTGATGTGCCCCCAGTTTGTGTTGGTACAAAACAATAGAATGGACTTTATCCAGACTTCCCCAGACCACAGGCACAGTTCTTTCCCTTCATAGAGAAAACCTGTTCAAGCATACCCCAGTCCATTCACAGAGACTGGACACAGCCTCCACTGGAGCCTTCCACAGCCTCAGGGCACCCCTGCCAGACAGAGCTGGCTGAAGGCATCTCTGGGGCCTCCAACCTGGCTGCTCCTGGGAGTCTCCTGCTCTTGGGGAGGAGGAGGTGTTCCTCAGCTCAGCAGAGGAACAGCAGAGCCACTGCAGCACCACTGCACATCCCAAACCCCAGCACGGGGAGAAGCCCTGCAAAGGGGAACAGCAAACCCAAACACTGTTACACAGATGTGGTTTATAACACAGCAGACAGAACCACATCTGTGGATATCTGCAGTGCTCAGATCCTTTTCAGCTGATGACAAATAGTGGAAGTGTTGGGCAATAGGTTTGGAAGGGGACACGCAGGACGGAATTTGCCTTTCACAAAATATAATGAGGGGCAAGAGTCAAAACTGTTAGTGTGGGGCTAGCCAAGAAGTTTATGCAGCATTTAGGCATCCAGTGGCTTCATCTTCCTGAGTACAAGCAATTTAATTTGTCACACTGATATTGTATACATGTCCTGAGCAAACAGGTCAGTAAGAAGTAAGAGTAGGAAGGGAAGAATGAGGGAAAAAGATGCAAGGGCATCTGGAAAACTCTGTCTGATCTGCAAGTTGGGAATCTTTACAGTTAGACATGATTACTGATTGGGGAGATAGGAAAAGGGCAGGTAAGAGAGGCTTCACAGCTCATGCTCAGGGCTACAGCTCCTGCCTAAGGACTGAGGGGCACTGGTCAGTGCCAGCCCCCAGCCATCACCTTCCTGGGGAGCACCAACACTGCCAGCTTAACAGAAAGAGAGAAAAGATAAAAAGAGAGAGCTTCACCTCTTCCAAGGCTCTGCTACAGAAAGAAACCCCATGTGCTACCAAATTACGTAGACAAAGGACAATCCTGTTTTGTAAAGCCTTTGTGTAGGGAATTCTTTCAGCTCTACTGCAGACTTGCAAGTGAACGAAACTCTTGTGAAACATTTACCTCTCAGGGTGAGGAAATGAAATCTCTTTTCCCCTTCTGTTCTTCACTGGCAGAGCAGAGGCTCTGGGTGGAAGGGCTGTACGAGTGGGATAACCCTGTCCCAGCCCTTTCTGCTTTTAGGCTACTCACCACAAGTCCTTGCTGTCACTCCACACCATAAACCCCAGCGAGGAGCACGTCCAGAGCTGCAGCTTCACGCAGGACACCCAGTTTTGTGAAAGCACCTCCTGTTTTTCCTACCACAGGTCCTGTCTGCCCTAACACCGTCAGAACAGGGTGAACCCCTCAGCAAGAACCAGCTCAGCAGAAACACCTCCAGAGGGTTATTAGCAACAAGACCAAACTAGCAGCTGTGGGCCTGCAGATCCTTGGGCCCTAAACACAGGGCTGAAGAGGCGTGACATCAACTATGTCAAAAATTTGCTTGCTTTGAAATCCTACTCCTGCTTATTTATGTTACAGGAGTACCCAGAAGCCTCAGCCAAGCCCTACAGAGCTGGGGCTGGAGAAGTGCATTTGCACATGTAATGGCCATAGAATCACAGAATGGTTTGCACTGGAAGGGACCTTAAAGATCACCAGTCCAGCCCTGCTGCTATGGGCAGGGAGACCATCCACTACACCAGGCTGCACAAAGCCCCACATCTCCAGAGAGCCACGAGCAGCTCAGAGCTTCCACTAGAAATAACTCAGAGCCAGGTTGGAGGTGAGGAGCTGCTGTGGCAGGGCAGGGTACAGGAGACAGCCAGCACAAGGGCTGGGAAGCAAGCCAGCAGCCAGGCATCATGGACAGGGGTGTCCCTGGGGCTTCTCTAGTGCTCCCAGGGCAGAGCTGAGCTCTGCCTCCAGCAGCCAAAACACCCCATGAAAACGCTGCACACGGAGCTCTGCAACCCCCACAAGGATGCAGAGAAGGCTGTTAACCTAAACAGACAGGTCTGAGATTGATTCGCAGGAAGGATGAAATCAAGAGGCAAAAATAACATTTCCAACACACCAGTGACATAGCAAGCCCTTAATCCAAGGCACTATTTACAGGCCAAGAGCATTCCTTGCTGCTCTTACCTTCAGCTGCAAGGTCTGGGTCAGCAGCTGCCTTGGAGGAGCCTGTTTGAAGGTAACAGAGAGCCCAGGGAACAGCCAAGCCTAGGAACTGGGATTTGCAGGAGCAGATAAATAATTAAAGGGACAACTGAGCACAGCTCACTAGACTTTGCTTCACAATGCAAGCGCTGAATGTGAAAAACTCGAAACATTTCCTCCCCAAATGCATTAAACACCCATTTTACTATTTCAAAGTCTTTGACTTTCTCCAGCATCCAGATATTCACTTCCCAGCACTGCCAGGAATAGGGTCTTGTAAATAAAGTTTTACAAAAAAGGAAGGTTAACACACAGCATATTTTTCCCATTACTTCAATACATCCTGCGAGCTCTGCAAGCTTGGTAAAGAAAGAGTCTATTTAAAAATCTAGGGTGGGGAAGAATTAGCTCACCAAAACCATAAACAGATTTGCTTTGCACTTTCAGGCCAAGAGAAAAACAAGACAGGCCATGCGCATTATTGATGCACACAATGGCACAATCGTTTTAAAAACAAATTAATTGGGAGGGAGAGGACACCACAGGAGGGTGGGGGACAAGGAGGAGAGGAGAGAAAGGGACCAACTTCTGCAGCAAAGATCCTCAGTTTGGTTCTTAAAGCTCCCTCATAAGATACTGAAAAGCCTTTGTGGGCCGGCACAGGACCGTGGGGTTGCAGGGAGGATGGCACACTTTGCTACAAGGCCACAATCCATCTCTGGGTGCTGGCCCTTCCGTAATGAACAAAGTCTTTTTCTGCAGATGCAACACAAAGGAATTATTCTTATTTACCCAGACACCTTCCACACAAACCATCCACATCTGTTATGCTTTCTTTCTGTGGCAGATACTAAGGGATATAAAATTTAATGCCCTTCTCCCTGCTTTCCCTCCTAGGAGACCGACTCTGTTAACAAAGGCAAAGCGAAGCTACAAAAGCTTCACCCTCTTCCTCCAGCAAATTTTTCTGTTTATAATAGCCAGACAAGTAGAGAGACACAATGTTCACTGCATTTGCACAGTTACTGCCATAAGGAATTGAGGACCCACCTAGATGCAATTAATGGAGGGAACTTCAAGGAGGACAGCTCTCAGGGGGCTGAGGGTGCACGTGGATCCCAGCACATCACATGCTTCAGCAGGGTGCCTTAGTTTATTCCTACCAGTTTAACAGGCTGCAGAACTGGAAGTGTGTCAGGAAAGCTGCAGCAAACAGCATCAGTCCAGTCACTGTACTCCCAACACTGATTATTTAATAAAGTCTAGAAACAAGCAGTCTCCAGATGCGGCACAAGCTGGGTAGAAACCACTCTAGGGTTTGAAAAATCCCCATTTCCACGGGGACACTCATTTATCACACAGCCATGAATTGGGTGAACAAATTCCCTGCCAGTCTTCTCACTTATGTTCAACCATGGAGCTTACTTTTTCTACAAATAAAATGGCTTGGCTCTGCTATGAGACCAAATTTCTTCTTCAAAAGCCTGGAAGGGTGTAATGGAAAACTGGAGTGTTATTTCCAAGCACACTTCTTCCATCCACAGAAGCCAAAAGGAAAAAGCATCGCTCTCCTGACCCCTCATCCACACCATGGGACAGATGGATATTTATTAAGTTACATGGAAATAAAGTAAATCAGCGACTAGCACACAGTTAGAGGAGCCAGCCAGGAGAAAAGTACAAACACACAGGCTATCTGAACTCTGTTTTGTTCAAGGAGTGATATCCAAAAGCAAGGAAAATAAAAATCTCCCCCTTCCCAGGGACACCTGGAAGCATAAGCCAAGCTTGATCTGACCATAGAGCAGCCCCTGATCTCCAGGCAATGGAGCCAGTCACTGCAGGATCACTTCCCTCAGCCACCAGGCTGCAACAGCCTGCACAGAGATCTGTGTGATACACTGAACACAGCACATTTCCCTTCGAGGCTGCACAGAAAGCTCCACATCACACACAGTGCCCGAGGTGACAGCAGTGTCCTACCTGCATGAGGGACCATGTCCTGAGCCTGTCGTTCTCCTGCCCCTCCTCTGTGCTCACCCACATCTTTAAAGTGCCTGCAGTTGCCCCAGCAGCACCAGGATTCAGAGCTGGAAGAGAAGATATTGCACCAAAAATTACTGCTGAAGATTACCCCTGAAGGAGAAGGCAGCTCTTGGGTAGCAAAGGCTAAAAGCAAAAATAAAACACTGCTCAGTTTGAGGTGCCCACCCTGCCATGCTCCCACAGTACATCCCCACTGAAGCACCCTAAACACCCATCTTTGGGGCTTTTTTTCCCCCTCTCAATAAGTAAAGACATTATTTATCAGTGAACCAAGTTTGCTGAATTAATCACCAAGGCCTCAACCCAGTGAAAGCAATCCCCCAGCTGCAGTGTGCTGGAGACCAGTGACACTGCTGCCCAGCTCCCTGTGCTCCATTACAGGGCTGGAAACCTCAACTGCCCAGAACATATTTAGAGCAGCAACCACAGCACCCTGACTGCCACTGCCACAGCAGCAGCTAAATATAACATGCAGCTCTGCTTGCAGCTGTGGCCTTCTTTTCTCCCCTTCATTTCCCCCCTCTGCCATCCAATCCCTGCTCCCTCACCACTGGAGAAGCAACAGAGCCAACTCCATGTATTTCCTAATTTCTAAACTTTACTGTCTAAAGAGATAACCAGCCAAGTGGATTTCTGGGATTAAGTTCAGACCAGGGCAGAAAACAGCAGATTGAAAAACATAGAGTCACCCTTGAAAAGGGTGAGCCAGAGTATGTAACAAGGATTAAAACCAGGAAAATTAGGTTGTGATTGCCCAAGTAAAGTAAAATTTAAACTTGTTTGTTGCTCCTGCCGAAGCAGTGACAGGTCCTCCTCTCCCAGCAGCATGTCCCAAGTGTCTCATGCTCAATGGCAGGAGGGCTGGAACTAGATGATCTTTAAGATCCCTTCCAACCCAAATCATCCTGTGATTCCATGAAGTGTCCCTGTGCTTCAGCCAGCTCTGGTCCCTAACTTTCCCTGCCTGAGCCCCACCGATCTGCTTCCCAAGTTGGATCCTTTGCACACAGCTGCTGAGTTTCTTGGATTAAATAAGTGGCACAGTGAGATTTCACCAAGTAACTGGCACAGATGCATTTCAACTCAGGAAAGGGCTCCCCAAAATCCTGCAGACAAGAAGTTTCCACTCTGATTGTAATTTCACAGACCAAACTCAGCAAGATTTAAAAAGAAAAGGGAATAATTTAAAAAAGGCAAAACAATTGGACAAGCGTAGAAGGACACAAAGGTTTTCCCTCCCTAAGCACTCAGGTGTCTTGACACTGCCTGCTGCAGAGCCAGGCCTGGAGAAAGCTTTCCCCAGACCTGCAGTGCTGGCTGCTCTATGTTATTTGTTATACATTACTTGCTGTATGTTATTCTCCCAATTTAATTCACAGGAAAAGCAAAGCAAGCCCAGAACTGGGGTGGGGGGGAGGAAATCAGGAGGCCTAAGTTTGGCAAATCACAAGACTTGAGAGAACAAGAAAAATGCTTTAAATGCTTGCTAGATGCCACAGCTTTTTCTTTTTTAACTCGCTTTTCTTTTTTTCCTCCCTTAAAATGAAAGGAAGGCTTACCCCTAACCAATAAGGTTTCAGCACACTTGGAAAGATCCCAGCATTGAATGCCGAGACCTTGACATAACAGGTGACAAACTTTGCTATGCCAGAAAAAATTTAACATATAATAAGAAACAAATACTAGAGTGCTGATGGAGTGGTTTTTATTCCAGCAACTTGTGTAAATGTCCTATACTGACTTGCACAACCCCAGCACCTCCCAGAGAGAGTGATAACAGCCTGGCCCCACTGCTTATCTGCCATTCCTCCTCCTGTAACACTGCTGCTCCTCTCCATTTTGCCGTGGTACATTTAATATCCTTCACACACTCCTTTAGGCATTCAGCATATGCCAAAGACTTTAACAAACAAGATTTTGCATTCCTTGGAGTACCTAAATTAAAGAGTGACCTCGATCACAGCAGTCAGAACAGCTTCGCGCTTCTAGAAATTAAAGGTGGCTTAAATAGAAACTTAAGCTGGAGGCAGAGATAAATCTGAGTCTCCCAAAACCTTGTTCTGAAATATGGAGTAAAGCCCCTGCAAATTTGGCACCATGAGCTATGATTACCCTGGCAGCTCCTCCTTGAATTCCCTGGAATTGCTGCTTCAAGAAGAATAACAGAGCGAGCTGGGGCGAGGGCACAGGGACTGGGGTTTCCTCCAAGCAGAACATGCGAACAGCTCAGCTGCTTATCACTGAAACTGGAACAGCAACAAGGACAACCAAGGCATGTTTTTCCCCCTAACTTCTTTCAGATATTAAAATCCCAGCATCCAACAGCCAAGATACACTGAGGTCCTTATGTCTCAGTTATTTGCACTGTCTGCCAGAACCACAGCCATCATTCCCATCCCACTGCCGTCCTTACGGCTTCCCAAGGCTTGACTGAGCAGCTCAAAACCTGCAAACAAGTTCCAGAGTGGAGAATATCTTCCTCAAACAGCAAATTTAACATACAGAGAAAGCCATCTTACTACACCCCTGTGTGAGATCCACTGACGGACTGAACATTTCAAAATCAAATCCACTGCAAAGGCTCAAAAATAGAGATTATTCTATTTTCCTTTTACCTCACAACCCCACTTCAGATTTATTTTTTTTTTAACAGACATTAGCTCTCTTTTGGGACCTTAACAGATCTTCTTGCTCTCTTCTGGGATTTTTTTTTTCTTTTAATGTGGCTGAAAAGGGAACTAGGCTGTCCCAGAATAAATCCTCCTTGCAGAGCAAAGCCTGGTTTGACCTGAGACTCACACAAGCAGACACAACAGCCCCGAATCCACCTCTCTGTCCAGAGGTTGGGCTGAGGAAGAACAAAATGATACAGAAAAAGACAAAAACAATTCCTCTGCACACCAGTGTCCAAAAGGGATGCTTTACCTTTTCTTGCTGTTACTCAGAACTAGGAAATAGCTGAGCTGTGAAGGCACTTTGCAGGCTTTGGCAGAGATCAGCACCTTCCTGAGGTGTCCACATGGACCTGAAGGAAACTTCTCAGACTTATTCTGAGAAGACCAGACACTGCCCAGCAGAGACTGTCTGGCCCTGCAGCCCCTGCTGCTTGTGGAACACTGATTTAAAAAGTTACCATGCCCAAGATACTGTTAAAAGACTGACACCTTACCATTCAGAATCTCTAAAGAGGCTTTTTTTTTATTTCTGCAGTATTTACAGAGCTGGGAACTCGACTTCACTGATATTTCTTGAAAGAGAAATAGCTATACTAAAGGCAACATCATTCACTCCCCTCTCTCTCTTCCAACTCAAGTGAACCAGCATCCTATGGAAAAGCTTCATCACTGAGAGCTGCAAATTGTACAATTTAATGTCCATAACATTCAATTTCAGAACCAAAGAGCATAAAATATTTCTAAGCAACATCTGCTTTTGTAGGGAGACATGCAAACTTACATTATGTTTAGTAACTTCAATCTTTTTAAGTGCCTGAAAATTTAAGCCACAGAATAGCATTTCTTGTCTCTTGCTTATTTTAGACCAAAACCAGCCCTCTCCAGCCTCACCACTTCAGGCCAGGAGGGAAGGGAGCAAAGAACAACAGCAACAACTCAACAATGACCATCAAGAAATACCAGAAAGATATTTCCAAGCTGTTTTATCCTCCAACAACTGGTGCTCCACAAGCTCTTCAGACCATCAAATTCTACTGTTACTTTCAGGGAAAGCACTTCCCTAATTTTGCCCAATATTTAATCTGAACATTTTTCTCTGCAATTTTAGGACTGTGACCTCTTACTCTTCCTGCTGTGTACAGAGAGCAACCTTCCCCTTCCCTTTTAGGCACCTGAAGATGTATTTCCTGCCTTGCTCTTCTCCCATCTAGAACCAGACAGCTCAGGTTTGATCAGACCAAGGATTTTTAGACCTCCAGTCAATCTCTTTACAACTTTCTGGATCTCCTCCAGCCAAACTCTTCCCCTCTCTCCTGCCAGAGCCAGACAAGGACACTTTCCCCCATCCTTCTGCACTATACTCCTGATGCTAATGTTTATTTTCAGCTGAGTTTTATGTCCAATCTCCAAGAATTTACAAGCAGACCGTGGTCCAACCCATGTCTACTGGAATGAATTTTTCCATTGCAAGAAGGAAATATTCCACTATTCCTTATGGAATATTCCCATGATGCTAAAAATTCCTATTGCAGAGTTTTAAAAATTTCAAATCCTATTCAGGTTGGGTTTAAAAGCAACCAAACAGGTATATATACAACATGGAGCATTAAAGTCAGTGAATTATAGTCAGCTTCCTATCCAAGGAAAGCAAACAACAGACTCCCACTCCTCCCATTTTCATCTCACTGCCCAAAGGATGCTCTAAGGACCACAGGGGACACAAAGAGCTAAATTTAACTATTATTTGAGAGCAGTAATCATCACTTTGTTCCATGTTTTATTCAAGGCCTGATGGGGCCCTGATCACCCATGTGATTATCCAGTTCAAGGAAACAGAAGAGCACTGGTTTCCCTTTCATCCAAAAACCCCAGGACTACAGCAGGACGTGGGAAGCTGCGGCTCCGTTCCTGCACTGCCTGGAGGTTTTGGCATCTTTAGCTTCAGCTGCTGCTGTGAGCTGGGATATTCTGGGATGGGGAACTCTGTCAGTCCCCTGGGATCTGCTTTCCATGCAGAATACCATATTTAAACTGTCAATATATTCAGTGACATGGCTGAACAGTTCCTCTGCCCTCATCTCCAGCCTCTCCCAGCTGCAGTTACTGGTGCCATTCACACAGTTTTGTGGGAGCAAAGAGACAACAAAAGCAAAAATAAGTTTTTTCCAACAAAAATTCCCTTTGACAGGCAGCCCTGCCATTAACTCAGGGACAAAAAAAAAGCCTGGGAGCCAGCAGTAACAATGCTATTATAATACAAATTATTAATACAAGGGACCTCATTGCTCTCAGCTTCCACACAAAGCTTGCCAAAAGCCAAAGGCTCCTATTTTTGGTGGGGTGCACAGGCCTTGAAAACTCCACAGTTA